GAGAAGTGGGCCTGTGTGAACCTCATGAAGTTCAACAAGGTCAAGTGCAAGGTCCTGCACCTGGGATGGGGCAATCCCCGATATCAATACAGGCTGGGGGATGAAGGGATTGAGAGCAGCCCTGCGGAGAAGGACTTGGTACTGGTGATGAAAAGCTGGACATGAGCCGGCAATGTGCGCTTGCAGCCCAGAAAGCCAACCGTATCCTGGGCCGCATCAAAAGCAGCGTGGCCAGCAGGTCGAGGGAGGTGATTCTGCCCCTCTACTCTGGTGAGACCTCACCTGGAGTACTGCGTCCAGCTCTGGGGCCCTCAGCACAAGAAGGACATGGACCTGCTGGAGCGGGTCCAGAAGAGGGCCACCAAAATGATCCGAGGGCTGGAGCACCTCTCCTATGAGGCCAGGCTGAGAGAGTTGGGGTTGTTCAGCCTGGAAAAGAGAAGGCTGCAGGGAGATCTTATTGAGGCCTTTCAGTACTTAAAAGGGGCCTATAGGAAGGATGGGGACAATATTTTAGCAAGGCCTGTTGTGACAGGACAAGGAGTAATGGTTTGAAACGAAAGGAGGATAGATTTATACTGGATATAAGGAAGAAATTTTTTACAATGAGGGTGGTGAAGCCCTGGAACAGGTTTCCCAGAGAGGTGGTGGAGGCCCCATCCCTGGCAACATTCAAGGTCAGGTTGGACGGAGCTCTGAGCAACCTGATCTGGCTAAAGCTGTCCCTGCTTACTGCAGGGAGGTTGGGCTAGATGACCTCTAAAAGTCCCTTCCAACCCAAAGCATTCTATGATTCTTTCCCCACCTTTTCCCCTAATCTCCAATCTGGAGGATACAACAGCTCTGTGGAAAAGATAGTATGTTGGATTTGACACATGGAAGCAAAGTCCAGGAGTAGCACATGATATAAGTTAGCAGCATTCAAAAGAGTTGTCAATATCACATTCTCTGTGACCAGCTGAAGTACCACTCTTTATTATGTATGCTGCTTGCTAAATATTTATCCTATTTTCTGAAAGAACTGAGCTTTGTATGATTTACCTGTACAGCTGTTCCTGCTGTCCCTGAAACTTTTGAATTAATTGATTTAGCACAGTGATTGCAGTCTTCCTATCTAAGTTTGGTGTGAACTGAATTATTGGACTTCCCATTCCTGTCCTGACACAGAGCAGCCACCTGACTAGTTTGACTAGGTGTAAATCCAAGTAGCATCAACACTTGTTGCTGCATGGGGTGTGGAAGAGAGCTATAGTATCCTGTTGGTGGGGTGAGGTGGAGGGTTGAGATAGAAATGGTTCATTTGAAGGGGTGTGTTCAGGACTTTGGAACCCTGAAAACCAGGTGTTTAGTTCTCCTGCTCATGAACTTAGATAACATAGGCTTTTAAAATACCTTACTTTCCTTGCCATACCTCAGTATGGCATCTGAAAAATTACAACAGGTAACATCTGATGTTTGTCTTAACGAGACACAATGGATGGTTCAGATATCTATGAAAAGTTAGTATTATAGCTCAATATTCATGTTTTTCTCTGTAAAAAGAGAACTATGTTAAATGCAAATAATTATCCCCTCTTAGAACCTCAATTCTGATATTATACTGGATTCAAATATCGGAAATGAGGGATAACAATCAGCTTCAATTTGTCATGCAAATTTGCGCCCTGATTTTTCTGGAAGAAGCTTATTGGATGACTTATGCAGACCTCTCTGTCTGTTTTGGGTTTTGCGTTTTTTGTTTTTTTCATTCCTGTTACGTGCTGTGTTCTAAAGAATGCAAAGGTGCATCTAGTAAAGGATGAGAATGGTTTATTGCACTGTTTGCTTGTTTTATTTTTTTTTTTAAAGAATTAATGCTTTTTTCTCATTGGAAAACAATCAAGCTCTTGTGAAAACATGAGATTTTGTAGGATCTCTCAAATATCCCATTCAGGTTCTATTGGAACCTTCAACATTTGAAACTGAATTGAATTTTTAGTGTGATATATGCAGTTTACAGTCAACATAATGCCTTTCCTTACGTTTGTATGATGTCTAGTACAGTGCAAAATTCTGTCTTGGCTGCAATTTTCCAGGAATTGTAATACTGAAGTAGTCTAATTCTAATTGATTAAATTTAATCTAATGCTGCTAGCTTTTAACTCAAAAGTGCACACTGTATTTTTCCAACTGAAGTATCATGTAGGAATAGTAGCAAATCACACCTACTAAAAATCTTTTTATGAAAGTGTATTTGCTTGAAGACAGAGGGGTTTTTCTGAAGAATCAATTTTTACATGCCTAGAATAAATTAGATTATTAGAAAAGGCATTTAAATAATTTAATATCTTTTTTTTGCTAATCTTCTTTGCTTAGTGTGACTATAAAACTAACTTGTCTATCTAATTTCTGGTCAGCTGTTAATTCTGGTTTTCTTGGATTAATACTTGAAGTGTGGATATGAATATTTCATGAAACTAGGAAAAAAGTTAATACTTCAAATGAAAACACTTCTAAAATCATCAGGATTTTCCAGGTTTTTCTGATAAGAAGCTATTTGTTTTTTTCAGTTTTTTGCAAAGTTTCTATTAAATGGTCTCACTAAAATTGAGTATTTAAAGAAAGGGGGGAAGTAGGAACCTGTAGCCTGCTGACAGCAGTGCTGTCAGACAGATGAAGGAAGCAAGGTAATTATCGCTACCTTTCTTACGTCTTTCAGAGCTACAGTTTCGTAGTAGTAAGTAGCATACAATCCTCCTTTTGCTTAAGCAAATTATGTCCTATTCCTGACTGTCTAGCATAAAGAAGTCACAGTAAGTGTGGTGTGCCCTTAATAACAAAGGTAAGCAAATGCCTTAAACATATCTGTGCAGGGACAGAGTTTACTAATTAGAGGAATTGTTTGGTGGAAAAATAGGATTTAACTGATGTATATGAGCATACATCAGTTTTTATGAATGTCAGTAGAAGGTTGCTATTAACTCTCCTTTACGTTAATAAAGTCAGCAAGTAAAGTATTAGTACTATTTTGGAACTCCAAAATCTTGCTGCTTCTCTGGTTAAGAATTGTGTTTTAACTGCATGTCTGTCTGTTTAGGTAACCTGGCATGAAATTGCAAGGCCTCAAGTACATGGATACGACATGCGTTGTCTGGCAATGATTGGCCGGTTTCAGTTTGTATCGGGAGCAGATGAAAAAGTGCTTCGAGTTTTTCGTGCTCCCAAGAATTTCATAGAAAATTTCAGTAACATCACTGGTATTCCAATGGAGAAGCTGTACTCCCATGTAAGTGTGCTAAAGCAATGCTAAATGAAGACAGCCCTCTTTCATGTAAATAAAATTAATACTTTAGAAAACATCAAATTGCACTAAACTCCATAAAAATTCTTTTAATAGTTCTGAAACCTTAACCTTGTTTTTCCTTTCCCTTCTGATTGCTTCCATGTGTGTTGTTTCATATGTATTTTCACAGTGTTGTCCTGTAAAACAGGTTGTATTTGAAACTAAACAAGACCCAGTGTCTGAAGATTGCGAAGAGTATGGGTAAAATTTAAATAAGTCAGACCAAGTAGACTACTGTATGCACTTGGTGATTTGAGAGCAAACAATAAAGCCTGGGAGTCTGCTGCTTCTTAATTTAAGGGTGTAGTAGTCTTGTCTAGATGTAATTATTGTTGTGTGGTTATGTGTTGTTGTGGTTTTTTCTTTTTTTAATTGTATGCTTGGAAATAGCATAAAGCTTTCAGTACTGTTGTTAGTTGTTACATATAAATATTTATAAATGTGTACTTGCTCATGCTTTATTTCCTCTTGGCATTGGAAATTTTCTTGAGGCCTTTACATTCCAGTTCTTAGTTGTCGAAAAGTATACTGTCCTACTCTGTGGAAAGATAAGCCTGCAGAGTTGCCGTCCTTTGTTTGTTCCCCATTCGCTTTAAGATCCAATTTTAGTTTTCTCTGCATTTTGTAGAGCAGACCTCATTCAGGATAGTTGCCTCTGTACAGTGCTTTGCATGCTCTTTGCATTTCTGGCTCAAAAGCGGTGTTTTCTGTGCAGCTTCTCAGAGATGGATTAGCCTTTCCATTTCATTTAACAGTTGAAACATCTGGGAGAGAAATCTATTCGTTTTTGATAGCAAGAAGTTACATAAGTAGCTGTTTAGCGCTTTAATTCCATAAGACTTTGTAAGCGTTTGCATTAATGATATTGTACAAATAACAGTGGGCTTTTATAACGCTGGCAGATGTCATTATTTTACTTTTAGGTAGACTTTCCTTATCAGCTCTTCCTCCAAGTGCTATTTTTGATTCATGATATGACAAAGTGTTTCACGTGGACTTTGTTTAAAGAAGAAGGCATTATGAGCTCCAATGGTACAGCTATTCTTAAATAGCTTTATTGAAATTGTTTTCTGTGAATGCTTTTTTTCATTAAAGTGGGTAATTTTTTTCTTAGTTTAGCTCAAACATCTTCCCCCAAAAAGTACTTAAAACCAAAAAAGCTAGCTTTATATTCAGAAAGGGTTGAATGGGATTATATTCAGTTCAAATCCATGGGATTGTATTATATTTTGGGTTGTAATGAAGAACCGTTTTTGTTTTAGAGGCATTAGACTGGTGTGTGTCTCATACATTTTCTCCTTGAATTATGAACATTTAAATAAATAATGTAGTATTTTAAGCTGTCACCTGAATTATTAATCCAATACTGTAAAACAGTCTTTCTTTGAACTTTTCAGACACTGTGAGGAAGGGGTTTTACAGCTATTGAATCTAATCTTCTTCCATCTCTGCAGAAAGGGCCCCAAGTTCACTTACCCTTTCTAAATTTTGACTTTTTCCTCTATACCTTTATGGAAGTATTTTCTGTCTGATGATTTGTCTTCCTTCTGTGCTGCTCTAAACAGCTATGTACTCCAGCCACATCTCTGTGCTATGTGTTGGGTTGTGTTTGAAGTTGTGGGCATAGGCACTCACCTTCTCTCTCGTCTTCCAAAATGCTGCTTTATTATTCTACCTCAGAACAGACTATTTCCCAGTCCTATTGCATTAAAAACTGTAGTGCTCTCAGTTGATTAAGTATCATGTATACCCTAGAATAAATAAGATTGTGGAAGAAAACCTGTGATTAGGGATGAAGATGCGTGCCTTACAGGAAGTCCCTTAAACTGAGGCCTTAGAAAAGCTTTTTTTTCTGGCAGAGTACTGGTCTTCATCTTGTCCAGGATATGTTCTGGATGAGTTGGGAGGTTTTCAAAGTGGCCCCCTTCACTTCTCTAGAAAAGTCTCTTTTTATCACAGAGATTCCTTAAACTGTGGCCTCTGAAATCTGAACCTACATGACAATCTGTATATAACCTTTTTTTTTTTTTTTAAATTCAGCAATCATCTGATCTTCCAGAAGGTGCAACTGTGCCAGCTTTGGGATTATCCAATAAAGCTGTTTTTGAAGGTATGGCTACGGAGAAATAATGGTGATGGTGCTTCATGTGGAAACTTTTTTTTTAAATGATTGTTTTAGCATATGTCTTTTTGTTAGGGCTGCCATTGTAAGCTTGACTGCAAGTTTAGAATCTAGAAATAAAATTGTGCAGTGTTTATTTCTCTGGTAGCACCTAAATATGGTACTTAAAAATAATAATAATAAAAAAAAAGCACTAGTGAAAATCTTTTCTCCCTTTTTCTGCCTTTGGTTTCTCCT